ACATGTAGCTTTTGATTTTCTAATCATCTTGCAATTCGCGTGACTTCTTCAATTTGCGTGACTTCATCATCGCATATCACACTCTTGTCTACCTTTATCTTATAAATCCCTGGTATAATGATGTATCTTTCACCGCATAGGTCACAGCAACAACAACCGGGATTGGAAAGATCCAAATCATTTGACCAATGGCTGGCCAAGAAAAAAGCTGCTGAACAGCATATTAGAGACAGAAAACAAAGACAGAAAGAAGAGAAGAAACTCCAAGAGGATGATGATAAAAGAGCAAATAATGAAAAAGAAAAATCGTACGATGAATGGCTAAAGGATCAGAAATCAGCTGTTGGAAAGGGCCAAAGCAATCGACCTGTGTTTGGTGGACAGCGTGGACGATCAGCCGGACATACGAGTCCAATTGACAGGGGATTTGATTTGCTGAAATTAAGAAAGGAGATGGATATTTTCAACACTGTACCATCTGTGTAATACCTTTATTTTCTCCATTTGAAACACCTCAAAAAAATATTATGAGCCAAGGAAAGTGCTAAATGTGTTCCATGGAAGTATAAATGTGATTCTTCTAGTGAAAATATAGTGAAAACATTGTTGACCCTGGTTGAATGCCATCCATTTCCAGCCAAAATTTTAGTTCAATATTCTGCAAATTTTTATTATTTCTCTATCATTTGTTGGTAAATTTTTGATCAATTACACATAACTTCCCATTGGCTACAGGTCTTTATCAATATTGTTGAAAAAAATAATGAGAAGTGTGCAAGGTTATATCATGTTTTCTTCAGGTGAGAGAGATCTCCCAGTTCTGTTTTTGGTAACTTGGACAAATCATCTTACTTCAATAGTCTGGGGACAGTACAGTTGATGCATCTCATACCTCTTGTACTGTATAGAACATATGTTGATGCCATTTGCAGCATTAATACTATTGTAAGAGGAGATTGTAAAATATTAGAATCAAATCAAACCTCTAAATACAGATAAATATAAATACAATGGGGAAAGCGCACACTCAGTGAGTACTGTCAACAAATAACCTTTTCACGACCAGACTCTCGCCCAAATTTGTCTGCACTTTTTTCTTATACTCAATATTTTTGGAAATGATCCCTAATTTTGGAGCCAACAGGCAAAATTTGAGTCAATTTTCACTCAAAAATATTTATCCCATTCTTCTGAAGGAAAGTGCAGACTATAATTGGGACTATTTTGTTAATTTGTGATGGAAAGAGGAAACTGGTGGTGAAAAGGTTAACTTTGTACTGGAGAAAAGAGACTATGTCCCAATTTATAATTGGAATATGCTAAGTGGTAGAACATTTATTACACCACGCATGAATGCAGTACATATTTCCACATTTGCATATTTAAATTATGGCAGGTGGTTCCAGGTAGCTTGAGGGAAATTGTATCTCCCAACACAAGCAGCTTTATCTACTTTGCAAACAGAGGTTGTTATAGAATTCTATCAATTATGTACAGTACTTGTATTTACCTTTCTGTGGGTAATGACATGTTTTTAAATGATAACTATTCTGAGTTTGAAATTGTTTTTGGCCATTTTGGTGAAAATCGCAATTTTTTAACCAAATTTTAATGTACCATTGATGACTGGCAAATGGTTAGTGGAAGTCTAGCCAGGTAATTTTGCACATTATTCAGAAATGTAATAAGGATTCATAAGACATTATTACAATAAATACAGGAGAGTTATGATTTTACAATCATCTCCAGTCTGTTATCATGAAAACTGTATATCACTGTCATCCCTGACGATTGTTTTCATAGTAAGGAGGGGTAAACTTTTTTTGTCATAAAAAATTGTTCTTTTTTTTTGATTTCTCATCTTGAAAATGATTTTCTCAAATTCTGAAGAAAAAATGTGATGTGTAGTTTTCCCAGAAACAAGAATGTTTTTGTCCTGGGCTTTTTATTCTGGTTGAAGACATTATAAATAATTCATTAAAGAATTTGAAAACACTTATGTCATACAAGTATTTATATAAATGTAGATCATGACAGTTATTTTTAGTCATCACTAATCGCAAATTAATGTGACAAACCATTATAAAAATCAATGACAATGCATTTCTGAGTTTGTTCTGTTCATGTGATATTTAGGATAAAGCTTTCCATAATACTAGTAATGTAACTATTTTAATTAAATTTCAAACATTTGATTTTTAATACTTTGTTTTGTCATTTAACTTGCTTTATTTGTATTTTTTGCTGTCATTTTAAAATAAATATATATGAACAAGCAGCCTCTCGACTGAGATAGCTCTGCTGTTCGCAATGCGCATTTCAGAATTGAATATATTGTAACGAAATGAACAAATCTGAGAGGTACACCTGAGGTACCTATATATGCATAATATCGAAGCAATCTGACTTATGATTTTCAACAAGAAGTGGAAAATATCTCTTTTTACCAAAAATATTCATTAAAATTAGAGAATTAAAGATATCAAGAAATGAACAAATCTAAGCAAGGTCTATCAAAGGTACATATACACCAAGTATCAAAGTAATCAGACTTGTGGTTTTCAAGAAGTCAAAAAAGTAAAAAGTTGACAAGGACGCTAACGAACACTACACGATGACGTACAATCACTCATAATCTCTGCTCGACAGTGGAACTAAAAAAAATCAGATTCTTTTACTTATTAATGTGAGTTTAAGAAGAAAAATTCAGTTGCTACACATTCACAGTATAACGAAGCAAGTCAAGTGAAATTTGTCTAATTTTACTTAATTTGTACTTTCTAATCACATGGGACAAACATTTTAAAAGGCCTGCAATAAATTTCACTTGTGGATTTTTGCATAATTCCAGTGTTATTAACATGTGAACTCTGCTTTCATTGGTACAAGGTGTGAATGTGTGAACCAATCTATAGAGGGCGCTGTAACATGTTACTGTAAACATCTTTTACAGTAGCAATGTAAAATATCAGACACCAGTCAATGCCAATCAAAAACATAGTTGAACTCTGGTGACCTTGCCCTTTGTTATATAATATAATTCCCTTTATCATAGTTTGTTTCAATATAAATATGCATTGTCATAATTAATTTTGAATACAAACAAGTTTTGGGGTTGAACCAACAGTGGGAAATCAGTCTACCGAATGTCC